GACCCAACTCTCAAAAACCACTTGAACCCCTCAGAGAGCTGTATGTTTGAAATGTGTTTATCTGACATTGGGATAAAGGGCATAGTGACCAGCAGACTGCATAATTTTAATCCCCTTCTTCATTCTCATTCTTGTTTACTCTTACTGTTTCAAAGCTGTAATTCCCTCTTCCACAAAACAGATACATTTCATAGCCAAAATGAGATACTTTGTGAGTGAAAATAATGCAGATTGCTTCCTTTACTGATCCTTATTCCACCTCTGAAAGGACCCACATCAGCATAGCATGTAAGCTATGTACTAAATAGGGGAGAGTAGGTTGGATCCTGAAGAGTGGATTCACAAAAGGTCTTAGGAGGCATTTAATGAGTAAATACCTCCATGAAGTTTGGACTCCCAGGCCAACTCTTACAGTAGCTGAGATGTCCCAATCATCTCCTTCGGTACAGATAATAAGCTTATCTTAGTCTCTAGAGATACTGTGTTTGTACCATACATAAATCTGTGATGGTGACGAGCATGCCTAAATTGAGAAATCTAATTTCTATACCCTGCCAAGGAGATTTATTTCCCAACCAGAAGGCTATCAAAATCAGTAGCCATGCTCCCTTGACTTCGAGGAAGCACAGGCTGCATTAGAGAAAGACCCCAATTCAGTAGCCAATTTTAAGAGCACTATCACAGAGACAGCTGTCACAGGTCTGGTCCCAGAATGGCCCATTTGCATTAAGCAACTATTTGACAAAACAAACAATCCCTGCTGAGGTGATAGTCATCCAGCTGGTCTAAGGGTGCTTAATTTACTTGCACCAAGCAGGCTTAAGTATAGGCTAGGAAATAACACACTACTGGCAAAAGCAGCACTTAGCGAAGCATCCAATAAACTTTGCCAAGTGAAAACTGTGGAAGTATATTAAGTTTAGCAGAAGGAAACATCTAAGAGAACTTAGTACCAGGCCCTAACACTTTGGTTCAATTCCACTTAAAACGTACTTAAAAGATGTAAATTGTGCACCTACAACCTCATGACTAGTACCATCAAGCAGTTCAGGTGCTCTCTTGCAAGAGGTACAAGACAAAAATAATTTGTTTTCTTCTCTCACATGATGACTTATGTTTCTGTGATAAACTGTCATAGGGCTGACATAGTTCTACTGCATCACATGGTTTTAAACTTTTGGCCAAACAGGAAAGCAAATTTTGGACTTAAAAACTGCTAAATGAGGAGTTTTTAAGGAGCTTATGTTTTAAAAAAATGTCAGTGACATGGATTGGAAAGTGTTCCCAATTACACACATCAAGTTGCTGTTTTCTTCAGCAATTAAGAGGTTGAATAGATTTGACATTTAATCTAAAATGGTTACTCTCATGTGTGTTTTACCCTTTCTGCTATAATATTTCTTCATGCTTTTACCTTCACTTCAGAGGAATCAAAATGTCTGTGATCACATTGTGGGCATATGCAGGGACATCTGCATGTGTCTCTGCTGTCCCCTAATAAATTTGAAGCCATTAGCTAATTGACCAAAGACACCAGCTTATTCCAAACCTGTTGCACATTGGCTACATACACGCAGGGAAAACTGCAACATGAAATCAATCCTTGCTAGATGAAATCCTCACAAGAGAGCAATGTTTTGAATAACATTAATGACGGCAAAGAGCTTCTGTCACAGAGGGCATCTTACCAGCTACACGCATTAAAAAAAAAAAAAAAAAAAAAAAAAAACGCCTAACTAAAAAACACAAGCCCAAAGGAATCTAGATTTTATTGGTTCCGATTTTTTTTTCCAGAAATACTTGTTAATGCAGCTGCCGAATGACTCGCTTTCTTTACTTTTCTGGGTTTCAAAATTACCTGTGTTAAAGATAGAAGTATCTACTGCTATCTTTAAAAAGGCATTTGGTATTAAACAGCCATTGCTGAATCCAAGAAGAAAATGCCCTGTAACAGAGCAGCCTCCAAGCTTTCCAGATGAAGAATTTCTATATGCTTTTCTTGCAAGATACACCTACTGTGCATTCAATTTAAACTAAAAATACTCTTGCATTAATATGGCCCAGTTTGGGGCTTTAATTTGGGAATTGGTCTAAGAGAATATAAGATGAAAGAATAATGAATGTCCTATGGTGTGGAAGATTCAAGTTTTTACTTTGGAGACTTGCAGAGTTTACTGAATAAGAGCAGAGTATTTCTCAAAATGCATTCCAAAGTGGATTCATGATAATAAGCTATAAATACACACACACACACACATATATATATATACACACATATACACTCATGCCTGTTGAGTCTATTTTTCTAGTGCTTCAATAGAAACCCATAATCAGATTGTTTTCTGATGTGTCTCACATGGTATCTCTTATTGCTTCAAAGTTACCTCTGCTCCATTGTGCTTATTTATTAAAATCATTTAAAAGAAGATACCTAAGATCATCTTCCTTTCTAGAGCCATTAGCATCACTGGCATATAGGCAAGGCAAGCCAAAACCCTCAGATACTGCCTTCATGTAATTAATCAGCGTGACTTAAGCAGGGTCAGCATCTGGCTGCTTTTAATTTAAAATGCCTTTTATGCAAGACAAAGGAGTTGACAGCTGATTTCTTCAAGTGAGAGTAGCAGGACCACAATTATCCTGAACCTCTAAATAACCCTTCCTTTTTCCTGTACCACTCACCATTTGTTGTGAGCAGAGCTGGTAAAGATCTGCACTGGAAAATGCTTGTTTAACAAAAAAAAAGAAAAAAGAAAAAAGAAAAAAAAACTTTATTCGTGGAAGGGAGTTGGTTTTGATGATCTCCCAGATAAAACCTGGCAGTGCTAATGGAGAAGGAATGTTTCCAGAGTGTAGGCTTGCCCTAAACAAGCCGACTACCTCAAAGTAGGACCAACTCCAGTTTTTCTCTCTTCAAATCCTAGATGACTTTACCACACACCAGCTTGGATTCACAACTGTTTTTGTTTATGTTTCTTCTTCCAGATTGCGCTCTTGTGGAAAACTTCAGGTTTTCCACTTTTCCTTCAAGAACAGACCCTGGAAATGTGGAGGATTGGATGTAACAGAAACGACAGATTGTCATCCAGCTCTACCTCATACAGCTTCAATCTCAAGCACTCAGCTTTTTGTTTACTTCAGACCACAGAAAGCTGAGAAGCGCTCATATCCTGCTAACCCTCCTGAAGATCTGGGTCCTTCTTCAGAGAAATAAGTGCTAAACCTGCATCAACAAACCTGTTCATATTCTACACAAAGTCCCTCTCATCTCATAATCTCCTTAGTGCTATCTGTCTAGTCAGAATGAAGCAATTTCAGGTAAGGACAGTGTCTTAAGGTAAGGGGAAGATGCTTGTATTTTGTATATTATTCAAAATCTTGTCTAAAAAATCATCATTACAACTCAGGGTTTATGAGACTGGGATTTACTTTTTGAGATTAAATAAATAAACTTGCTGGAGATTAAAAGTAACTCATCCATAATAGGATCTTTTCTGTAGTAATGATATGGTCTTTGAAAATTATATTAAAATATTAACAGCAGAAATATTGTAACAAGTCTAGGGAAATAAAGCACACTTATTAGTCTTCTGACTCATAAAACAATCCTAGGCAAATATGAACTGTTTCTCTGAGGTCAGCAGAAAGTTGTACTTTACTAGAATCTTTGTGTGCAGATGGCAGGGTTATACTGCCACACACAGTCATATTGTCAATAAGGAAAAAAAAAACTGCCCACTGCTAATCTGACAAATTATTGGTAAAAAAAAATTGGAAGTTAAAGTCTAACATAATTTGCAAACTAATCAAAACAAGATAATAGAAATTGCAAACATGATACGTATCCTAAATGAAGCTGATTTCCAAGTACTTGGGAGAAACTCGAAAAAACATCAAAAATAAATCCAAGATTTCACACAAATGATGTCACAACACATTTCATATCACATGCTTGTTCTCTTGGGTGAGCATATTTCAAAGGGAGAAATGTGTATGAAGCAGTTACTCCTACTCACTTTTATTTCTGCTGTTTCTTTTGCTGTTTACGAAATTCACTGCACAAACTCCGTGACAGCTTCCCGATCCAGAACTGAAGCACTTGAGTGGAAGCTGTCGAGGAGCAAGCAGGCCAGACTCCTGCACTTGCATCTCCATGGACCTGCTGGGGAACCTCAGCAGTCCTTTACAGCCTATAGGTACCTAGCGGTGGTAGCAACCACGGGGCCATTAACAGAAGCACCTTCTCCAAAATGCTGCAGTTACTGAGGCCCGGAGAGACACCACTGGTAACTCCCTTTCCCTCTGGCAATGCTCAGTAAGGAGAGAGGAGGCAGCAATGCTGCCAACACACTAGCTGCATTTCCACTGCGTGCAACCATTCTCTATCTCAACTGTTAACCCAGTCCTAGAAGAAGGAAATGCTGCTTTGGTCTCATTGCAGCTTGGAAGCAAACATACAGAAGATAATTTTCCCTAGTCAACTTCTTTTTTTTTTTTTTCCTTCCCTCAAGCAACGTAATTTTCTGACTCCAGGTCCCTGCTCCAGCCCATCTTCCTTCCCAGCATTTCCCCACTAGCCAGAGGGAGAACTTCACTTTCACCATTTCCCCACTAGCCAGAGGGAGAACTTCACTTCCACCATCAGCATTGAAATCTGGTCTTGTGGATTCCCTTGTTGGCCCTTGTGGGCCATAGATTTCAGATTTAAGGGCAGATTATAAAGGGACCTACGGGACCTTATGGAAGGAAGACAGATTTCTTCCTGCAAGGAAGAGGCCTTACAAGCTTTCTGCATTATAAAACAATCCTATTTGGACCGACATCAAGAAAACAAGATTTTTCTTACAAAATGAGCAATCCAGTGATACTTCTATCATGTAAATAATATTACTGTTTAAGGCTTGAAAATCCTGCTGTCTACTCATAATCCCACATACTTTAATAACACTGATATTAGATGAAAGAAGGCCCTGAAAAGAAATGGGTCACTTTTTCCTTACCCTGATTTCTGACTCAGTTTTCTTTCACTGCTGAGAAACACGGTTTCTTCCTCCATTTCTTGTTCTGTTACTACGTTATTTCTGAGTCTCTGTTGAGAATTTGCTTCCCATCCACCATCACCACCAACCACGTCCAACACCGGGGCATCTGTTCTTCTGATATTCTCATCCTCAGTAGTCAGATTGTCCAAGGGACCACAGCCCCCATGTTCACCTGGTTTATGAAGGGGTGTTTCTAGCTGATATTCCGCTTGAGCATCAAGAACTGATTCCTGCTCTGCAACAGCTTCCAGTTCTTTTCCAGAATGTCCAGGTCCTGATTTTGCAGTCTCTAATCTGGCAGCAAGTTCCTCAGGTGATATGCAACCAACTTCAGTTTGGCCCAAAACAATCCAGCCCTCATCTTGCCCACATTTCTCCGGTGATCTCCTTTCATCATCCACTTTTTGAGGCATGACAGAAGAACTTTTCTCTGCTAAGTTAACAGAGTCCCATTCAATCTCCCAAGCACACTGGCCTTCCCTTTCATTTATTATGGAAATCGCTTGAAATGTATCCGAGGAGCCTGGTGAAAAGCCTTCATGAGATTCTGTTTGTTCAGCTACATTAACTTCTTGAAATGCAAAATCACTTCCTTTTATTTCAAGGGTATCCTCCCTTGAAGGTGTATTTTCTTCCCCAGTAACAAGGATGTAATCCATCTCCAGTGAAGTTTGATCTTGGTGCACCTGCATCCTCATATCTTCCTTACCTTCCGTATTTTCCAGTTCAGAGCTCTCAGAGGAATTTCTCGACTTGCTCTCTCTATGAAGTGGGTCAGTGGTGGCTTCTAAAAAAAGAGAAAGACAGAAACTGTTTTTAATTTTCCCATTACTATTTTAGTCAGCATGATTTCTTTAAAACAGCACAGCAGAAATAGCTTCTTTCAGTTTGCTTTGACAGCCTCTGTTAATGTGTACTTGAACTTTATAACATCATCATTATTATCACTGCTAAAGATTATACATTAACACTGCGATCAAATGACTCAGTGTCCCATGTGCTAGGCCCTATATAAACATCATAAATGATATCACCGCTTCAAAGTTTAAAAGCTATAGATCAGTCTAAAAGTGGGATATTAGAAGTCTTCTCAAAGTATACCAGGGAGGCACACAAATATCTGAAATTTCACTAAAAATCTCACCATTCAGCAGTAATACTCAAATATTTATTTCTTTCCTTGCCCTCTGAACACGTTTTGGAAGAAGTATAGATTTGCTTACCATTGGATGATCTTTTATCTCCACCTGGCGGTGAGTCAAGATCAGTTGTTTCCGGCTCATGTTCGATTTCTTTCAACACGTCAGAGGCTCCTGGAGCTACTTCAGACTTCAAGGGTGGAGATATCAACAGGGGATCTTCCTGAGGACACTCTGTGGATGTGTCAGGCATCTGATCCTTAACGCTGTCATCTTTCATCGCTAGGGTGCCTTCTGCATCTTCCTGAGGAGGCTTTTCCAAAGAACCACTGTCACAAAAGGGCTTCTGTAACAAAAGCTCATCCTCAGCACACTCTGTGCTGCCAGAGGGTTTGGCACCAAGAGACACATTGGAAGGTGGAATGCATATCACTGGCGATTGATCACTAGGCGTTCCCTTAAAAAGAGAAGCATCATTTTCAATTTTATGCTTGGGTTCTTTTATTATGTCATCAATGAACTGATGCTTTGAATCGGAGTCATAGTCTTCATTATCATCAGGCAGAGAAGATCTGCAGAGCAGTTGTTTGGCACTTGATTCCCTTTCTGCTGTTTCACTGCCCACTACCGTCCATGTGTTGATTCTTGTACATGTACTTGATGGGATATTAGTGACAGATGTTTCACTGATGTTATCTTCTACCCCAGTCTTAGATCCATCCATGCATTCATCTGCTATTTCTAATTCACCCCTGTTTATTGCTGTTTGGTCAGTATCAGAATGTTTTCCTATTTCAGCCAAGGCACTTATTTCTTTTAAGCTTTGTTCTGGCATACTTGATAGAATGAAATCACTGGGAATAAAATGTGTTTGGGAGTTCACTATTTGAGCTGAATCAAGCTCAGTGTCTTGATGGCTTGCAGCAGTATGACTTTCAGGAAATGTATCTCTGGGATCTAAGGATGTTACTCCTAAAACTTCAGTGGGTATCTTAACCGGCTCAATTTGCTCAGTAACAAGTTTCCTTCCTGGGCCATATTCTTCCAAAATTTCAAATACAGAAGGTTCCTGCTCATTAGAAGAGATCAGTTGGCAAGATCCATCTGTCTTTCCTTGATCATAGTACTGAGGACTGTCACTTTCAGACTGTGCTTCCAACTTCTGCATTGCTACCTGAGACTTTGAATCAAAATCTACCTTTTTATTCATATCTGACAATGTGCAAATCATCTGACTGTCTTCAGGCTCCACCTTAGTCTGAGAAGATGGGAGAGAGGCATGTCTAGCATCATACTCCTGGCATACATCTGGACTGGCTGATGCATCTGAACTACTGTCTTGGTCACAGTGACTTACTACATCAGGATTTTCACTGTCTGCTTTCAAAGTGAAAAACTGTTCAGCATTAGTCCACAGATCAGGTTTCACTGAAAACAGATGATTACTTTCTTGGGCGTTATCCTGTAAAATATCTGGAATAAGCGCGGGCTGGGGAACTAATATATTCCACCCTGGACTTGATTTCTCTGTCATTTCAAAAGATAAGTCTTCTACAATGAAAGCACCTGACAGGGAGTTGTGCATTTCTAATGTTTCACAGGTATTCAGTTGTTGTTCTTGAGGAATGCGACTTGCATCTGTCTCACTGTCATTTGGTTGAGCAAGCATTGGGTTTTCTTCAACTGATGTCTTTGACACACTTGGTTTAAAATTTTCTGAAACAATATTGTGTGGAGTCAGCTGTTCTCCCTCATGTGTAGGAAGAGACTGCTCTTTAAAGTCCCTTCCTTTTTTGTCTAGTATGAAAGGATCAAATTGTTGGAACTGTATAGTATCTTGATTTATTTGACTATCATGAATATCCATAACCTGTGCTACCTTTTCATTTTCTTTTTCACTGCTGTATGGGTGGGGATCCTGAATTCCTTCATTCCTCGTATCAGTGAAACCTGCATCTTCTGGCTCTTCATTTGATACAGGTGGTCCCCAGGAGTCCTGATTACTGTTTATCAATTGTTTTGCTACAGAAGCACTTGAAGAAGAATTCTGATCTTCCATTGGCTTTTCTTCACAGCTTTGTGACTTCCACCACTCTGAACTGTCACCTGGAAAAACAAACGTTTCTACTGTGGACTTTAGTTCAACTCTTAAATCAGCTTCCAGTGGCATATTCCACGTATCTAAAGCTCTTGCAGAATGTTCTTCTTTATCACCAACTGCAAAAGTCGGTGTGGTATCTTCATCAACTTGATGCCAACATGAGTCTTCTGCAGTACTCATTCCTTCACTGAAAAGAGTCTCATGAGTTTTTTTCTGAAGTGTTTCCCAGTGCTGTAAATGTTTGGAAGCTTCATCAGACTCAGTTATAGTCAAGCCAACTTTTGACACACTCTCAGCTTTAATTGCTTCAGGATTCTCTTTTAAGATGCCTACCTGAACCACCTCTCCCACCTTGGCTTTTGCGTGTAAACTGTTTTCATTCGTTTCAAGACTTGTTGCACTGTTTTGTGTATAATAATCCTCTTCAATTTCAGATGTCCTGTGCTTCTTTTTTTCACACATGGAATCTTCATAAATCACTGCTGGACATGTATCTGAACTCTCTGAATGCTCATTTATTTCTGGACTTGACAAGGAAGACACAGTATCATCATCTACATGGGCATTCCAAAAATCTAAATTTTTAGGAATTTTGTGTTCAGTGCTTGTTTCAAGTCCTTCTTGACATTCATTCCCAAATTCTCTTATTTTATGAGCTTCCTCAGGCTTCTTACCATTTGTAAAATCCCACATATCTTCACTGCCTTTTTGATGAGTAGCAACTGGAAGGTCTTCCCATGCATTCACAGACGCATTACTTAAATCAGGGCTTGTTCCACTTGACTGTGTGTAATCATTTATGGAATCACTCCATATACTATCTTCTTCTAAATAACTTTTGATCTGTATATCTCTAGAAATGCTACTTGTGGTGTTTGCCATTTCAAGGACTTCACTTGCTTCAGGACTAGTTCCAGGAGATTGCAAATCTTCACCTGGCTGTGAATTCCAAACAGTTTGGGGAAAACTGTCATGAAGTGTCTCACACTCCTCCCCAAAAAGATTATTAGCAGATGCTAAATTTTCAGAATTTTCATTTCTCCCAGCATCTGTGTCATGAGAAAATCCATTTTTAACCAAAGAAGTATCTGTAATGTCAGGAACACTTACATATTCAGAAGTACTTTTCTGAAATTTAACTTGTGGAGACTCATCTATGAAAGATTTTTCATGAGTGCTGCCCAGTTCTGGACTATCTTCAGAAGACTCAGTATTACAAAGACCTAAGTTATTAGGAACCACATCATGTAAACCCTCTTTCTCTTCTCTCTGCACTTCTGCTACTTCATTCATCAAAGGAACTGATGTGGCTAAGTGAGAACCACTCTCCCCAGAGTCACTGCAGATAACTACATTTCCAGTCACTTTAGAATTTTCTTCATGATTATTAGTACATTTATTAGAACTTTCAGAGATACTCTCCGTCTCAGGACTCAGTGAATGATCTATCACTATAGTCTCCTTTTCATCATTCTCAGAAAGTATATATGATGTTTCACAACAACTGTAGTCTTGTTGCTTGGAATCATCAAAAAGTTCATAATTTCTATCTTCCTCAGAAGCACTTGAAGAAGATTCTGCTTTGTCTTGTAATACTTCTTTGCTGTCCTCCTGACTCACTAAATTACTGTCATTGGAGAATGACATGTTCTCTCTGTCTAAATCTTCCAAACTAACACTATTCCGCCTTTCCTCTAGCGAACTGGGAACTTCACACATTGACCTATTTTCTTTTGAATCAGCATTACACGAAGATTCACTGTCTTCTTGCATTGGTTTCTTACAGACATCACTAATATTTTGCTGTCCATCTCTTCCATCTATTGTCTTAAATTCCTCTTTTCCTTCCTGAGAGGAGACAACTGTACTGCAGTTCTCCCAGGCTTCCTCACAATTCTGCTCTGTCTGTAAACTCTGTGAGGTTGGCTCCAGCACTGACTGCCAACTATCCATCTTTTCATCATCAACAGCAGTGTTTTGTGTTTCTTCTATACCCAGTATCTCACTTCCTAAATCAAATTCTTTCAGGTTCAAATCATTACCAGCATCTGAAGTGGTTGTAGAAGTGTCTGTGTCTTCTATGGGAACATTGCTCACCACTTCTACATTTTCAGGTATACATCTAATATTTAGTTCATTCTGTGATGGTGACAAGTCATTCACAGTTTGACTGTATACTGGTATTATTTTTCTGTTTTGAGAAATGGGAAAGTTATTTTCATCCGTATTTTTCTCAGCAGAAAAATACTGATTAGCTGTTTGTTCTGAATTAAGAACAGGTATACCAGTGGCAGAAAGAGCAGTAATCTGAGAATTTATTTCTTTTAAGTAGGTTTCATTATTTAAGGGTGTGTTCCAAATGGCTGTGTTTCTAGAGACTGAAAAAGGCATCTTTCTAGGGGATAATGGTTCCTTATCTGTTTTCTCAAGTACTTCTGGTTCATCCAAATTTGGATTTATAAATTTATCAGTTACTGCTTCTTTGTCAAAATCTTTGTCCTCATTTTCTTTTTCATCTCCCACATATGTAGGTGATATATATGAGTCAGATGTTGAATAATTGGTATCTAGTGGAGAAACAATTAAATCTTCACCAATGTTTGATGAGCTAAGGTCTGAGCATTTATAGGCCAAGAAGGTATCTTCCCATGGCACCACTACTTCTGTTACTTCTTTCCTGATGTTTTTGTCATATAAATTCCAGGTCTCTATATTTTCAAAATGTTTTGGTCTATGTTTAGGGCCAACTAACAGATTTTTTTCCTCTATTTGTAACTTGAAATTGTTTTGCATATTGTTAATACTAGAATTTGTATTTTCGAGTGTTCCATATTCTTCTACTGAACAGAATCTCTCTTTATCCCAGGCTTCTGGAGACACCTGAACAGGTACATTATTGGTCTCACTGCCTGCTACAATATCTGAAGAATCTGATAAGCTAGTTTTTGATACGGCCCATTCCTCTGGATTATTCATTGATTTTTTTTCTCTGTCCAGTTTGGGCATGTTCCATACATTTTCTGAGGATTTAGCATCAAACCTAGCCCAGACTTCATAAGCATCTCCAGCTTGTTCACTACCTTTCCCTTCACCAGTATACCACACATCTGACACCACAGGTAATGGCTGATCTGCCTTCCATGGGTCAGTAAAGTTATCCAGCTCTTGCTCTGTCTCCATCAAAGAAGCAGTTTGCAAACACGAATGTTCAATGTTTTTCTCATCGTTCTCTAGGTTCTGATTATTTTGCTTAAATTGATTATCCCAGAGACCTGATCTTGTGTATTCCGCTTGCTTTGTCTGTTTCTGCAAAAATACAGAATCTGAAGCTCTTCTTTCAATATGTTCCCGTAACAAGGGGCTTGCTTTACAATCTTTCCATAGGACAGGGCTCTGAAATACAGATTCCTGCTCGCTTGAACTCCAGGTATCGTCATTTCTGGACTCCAAGTCAAAGCCATCCCACCAGCTCCCATACCTAACACGAGACTGAGAATAGTTTGTGCTATCCATTTCATTAATTTTTTTTACTACATCTTGTGGGAAAAACAAAGGCTGCCCATTATCTAATGGTGAAGTTTCTACAAGACTGTTCATAGGAGTTGGTGGTATTCTTGTATCAGCAGATTTCAACATTTCAGGTGAAGAAGAATCACCTTCAACCAAATCAATCAAGCTTGCAGTTTTCTCACATCTATCTTCCTGATTTCCATCAAATTCAGCTAAATTGTCTTCCTCATTTGTTGTCATTAGTAAGTTAGTTGAATAATTCGCTATGTCATTTTCTAGTAGGTTTGCCTCATTGATTTCTTTTTGCACAGTGGGTGGTTGTCCTTCTGATGAATCACTATTAAGGAAAAAGTCATCTGCTGGGGAACAGTCAACAGAACGAGAAGATGACTCAGATGGAGCTGTAACCACGGGTGCTAGATCAAAATTGAAAAGATCAAAGTTATCACTGTTGTTCCTAGACTGTGGTTTTTGTTCTTCTGGTATTGTACCTTCAGGAATAGGGCTATAAGAATCAAAACCAGGCAGAAGATTGTGATGGGAAGCAGCACCTTCTGCAACAGGGCTATCATCACTAAGAAAAACAGAGCTCTCCTTGGAAGACCGGCTGCTTCTAATAGTGGCCAATCCACTGTCTGGACTCACAAGATCTATATTAACATCAACATGGGCTGGTATAGATCCATTCAAATCTTGAGGATTTTCTATAAAATTAACAGAACTGGGTTGTGGTTCTATGTCAGAACCATATAACTCCACAATACCAGAAGATCCTTGTGAAAGTGGTGCACTCCCAGCAACAGCTTCAGTAGAAGAAGTTCTACTGTTTGACACCATTTCTGGTTGTCTTCTATTTATAACTTCCTTAACCAGAAGAAATATTTGGTCACAGGTCACCGAAGAATTTTCTTGATGATAAACAAGAATTTGATCACATCCACATTCTAGAGGATCCAGCTCCAAACAAGGATTCTGACATTCTTCTAATTCACAGCAGATCTGTTAAAAAATAGGATGTTAGGATGTTTCAAGAACTGTTGCAATCTCAGGTACAATGGCAGAGTAAGGTCTACTTCACTATGTAACAAAGACATGACTGTTAATCTGTTTCTTGACCATTATGTTGTAATGATATTTTTCTTAAGCCTAAATAAATAAAGCATTAAAAATTAGGATCAATACAAAGTATGTGTTATAGGATCAGCCAGAATACTTATTTACTTTTTGGGTTTCATATTCAATTGTTAATCATTATTTCAAAATCTAAGGAAGTGTTTAGTTGTTGTCCTAAGGAGTCTGAATCAAATACATAAAGTGACAATTAGATTAATAAAACAGATTTGTCTTGACCTTGAAAGAAGTGATGACATTACCTATCCGTCCCTAAAATCAGAGGTACTTAAGACTGAGAAAAAGCTAGAGGAAGTTGTCAGAGTGGTGATTTTTTTCTATTTGAGAATGAGTATCATGAAAAAAAAATGCATCTGTCTTTAGAAATACTAAAATTCTAGCAATAATTTGGCATCATTTTAGAGCATAAATTCTTTAGAGAAGAATACACACAAACCTAGTTATCAACTTTTATAATGTGTTTGTTCATGTCTCCTTTTCAGAAAACTCCCTCGGATAGGACACAATACAAAACCAAGTCAAAACAACTATGAAAAAAAATCTAGTTTAGATAAATTGAGAATTCCCTTTTCTCTCTTTCTGTACTTTTTGTGAGCACCTACTCTTTCTGTTTGACTGGCCTGAAGTATTCAGTAATATTGGAATCTTTTATTTTGCATCATGCAAATAGTACAGTCATTTCAAACAGCTACTCATACGCCAACCAACTTAATAGCCCCCCTTAATTATACAACAGATTATCATCATATTTTAAAGAATACACTTTTTCTCCAGAAAATATATTATTTGATTCTTCTTCCAGGTACTTACTTGACTGCCCAGTTCTAAGTTTTCTGAATATACTGCTATTTGTCGTCTTGTTTCCTCCTCATCTGACAAATAGTTGGCCAAAATGACAAGTACATCAAACCCGTATTTATCTATGAATGCTTTCAGATCACCAAGGAGACTCCTGTGTAACACACAGTCCTGAAAAATGATGAGAAATTATATATTAAGCAACAATACACTTTTATTGCTATTTTCACCCAGATCTATGATGAAAACAGTCAGAAATATTCAGACATATCAATGGCTGTAACTGATAGCAGGATTCTTTTCATTTGTCAAAACTGCAGTCTGCTTTAAAAAAAATAGCCATTTCTGGTACAAAGAGATTTTAAAACCAGTTTGTGTCACTATGGCTATTTTCATCCAATAAAAATGCATAGAGTGAATGCAAACATTATATTTATTGTTCCTGTTCTCATTTACTCTTTGATCAGGGTTACACAAAGTCATTCAGATTTTACAACATAAACAACGCATTACTCTTTCTGACCTGAGGGCATGAAGCACAAAATACAAATCTTTGTCTTCAGTTCCGAGTTCTGACAACTGCCAGTGAAATAATGAACGAAAAGTCTCAGGATATTATTCTTTTTCATGTTTCTGCTATTTATATTTGAGTTAATTTATTGTTGTCTCCTTGCTAAGCACAATGTCATGTGCTGTAATAGTTCTTCTGATGCTGCTAAGCTACAGTGGCCCTGAATAAACAGCAGTTCATCATGAACACAACACAACTGCATATGCAGATTGGCATGGTATCCCCTCACATCTGTCTCCTACCTGATAAATTACTGTTTTAGTTACATATATACAAATACTATTTATTAATCTGCTCAAATATGTCCACAAAATGTGTTCCCTCCCTTTAAGTTAAACTTAAAAAAATCTTTCTAATTTCAAAACAGTCTAATAAGGATTTTCTTTTTTTTTCTAGCTCAGACATGAAATTCCACTTTGATGTTTGCATAGTACCTACCAGTGAGTTATATGTGAACTTTATACAGAGTACTGCACAAACAAAACTGAGCTGTCAGTTTGCTGCTGTAATGTTCACAAGTGAAATTTGAATAGGCGGTTGTGGTGAGGAATTGTTATGAATAAGATCTGAATGTCCAAATAGGTGATATTTTATGAAGTTTTAAGTATTGGGTATGTTATAAAAGCACCAAAATGTGCCTGAGCATACAGAAGTGACTGCAGTTACCCAGGCTTAAAAGCAACTGGGATAATCACAATGTATTGGAACAAAAATTCTGCACTACAGCAGATTCAAAATCACTTGAGGATCCCTGAGAGCTGCTCATCTCAGCCGCCTGCTCACAGCCAATTCAAGCAGAGTAAGTACTCAAAGGTAAGGCTACATTCCAAGCAAGGGTCTAGTCTGCAAAGTGTTTTACAGCTGATCATAATGTAAATAAATGGTAATTGTAAAAAAAAAAAAAACAGTCTTAAAGCTATATGATATTTTAGCATCTATATTATCCTTAGCTTTTATCATGTTAAATAAAGAATTAGAAAGTTTCTGTTAAAATCATCAAATTGAACTGAAAGCCTTATAAAAGTCACAGTGATGGGAGATTTCTGTCTTTGTGGCAGCTAGCACTTGGCTTTCAGCAAGCAGTAGGGTGGAAAGTGCAGATAATCCTCCCTCCTACAGCGTTTTGACACATAACCTTTAAACTTGCCCATGTTTGAAGGGAAAATTGCCCCACTAGAAGCACTAGCAACTGGGTCATCACTATAGGCATGCAGGACTACTGTAGACCAATTTCTATGAATTAAGGCTAAGAACCATTCAAAGTATCAAAAAGCAAGACAAGGGACAGAACAGAGCACAATGTAACGTTCCTGTGCTAGCAGCTCCTTGGTGGTGGGGAGCAGTTAGCACAGCAAGAGTGTGGCACCAAAAGCCATACAATCACAGGTCAGTTTTTCCAGTCAGAGCAGGAAAGAAAGAGCTAAAATGGCTATGGTAGTGAGCCTGAATCTGCGTTGTGTCCTGCTTTCTGCCGATTTGCATCTTAGAGTCAAGAGAAACGCTGGAAAAGTGATTCAGCGATGGGCATCAGTAGGTTTCTGCTGTAACTGGGGAACTTCTCAAATATAAATCCCAGCTGGATTAGTTGAGCTGAAGAGCTACGCACTGGGCCACGCTAACTTAAACACTAGCAGGTCTGTACTGCCTACATCACTACCTGATCCAGCTACCTGAGGTTCTCTGCATTTCTCACATGCTCTCAATCTTACTACTACTCGCTCACAGTGTGCACTATCTCTTCTGAGGTTCTCAGGAGGCTGATGACTGAGAAAAGCACAAAGATCCACACTGATCATGCTACCAGTCTCTCTACTGCATGCAAGGTATACAAGGAGATCAGTATTGTTCTACACGTCCCTTTTCTCCTTTGTGGGCAAACAAGATGCTCAGTTGAATGGGACTATTTTTGCATTAGTAGCCAAGATGTTAAAGGTATGCATTTAGCAAAATTAACAATTATGTCCCAAATGGCATAAAATGAGATTAAATATTACACAGCATTAGACTCGCAAATACGGTGGCTAGAGCAACCACCTTCACTCAACACAAGCTGTGATAGGGCTGCAATCACGAGCTATGTGCTGCCCTAAAAGTTTTATAGGGTTCACATGATTTGGAACATATCAAGCATTAATGCATATCCTTGTGCTTGTAATTAGTTTGACTGAAATCAGAACTCAGAAAGCTAAACACAGTCACACAAGCTTAGGAGTATTTATAGATAAAAGATCACACATGCACAGACATAAAAGTATCTAGAAATTTGGCATATTTGAAAGAAGTGAATTTTTGTTTCATCTCATTCTCAAGTGGTATCTGAAATACAGACTGCTGGCAAGTCTGCTAGCACGAACACAAACATTCTAAATGTTTGATTTATGCTATTTAAATTCATCTTTAAATAATTTTTAAAAGATTCTGAATTGGTAATTTATAACAATATCAACAAATGACCTGTGAGAGATCAGAATGCCTATAACTATACATTTACATATTTTTCTTTTTCTCATTCACAGAAGTAAACAAAGTTGGTTTTGCATATTTGCCATAAACTTTTTTTTTTTTTCAAAATATTGATGGTACTTTGGAAACCAGACTACTAAAGGGAAGATCAATCTTTCTCATAGTAATCTTCATTTGCTTTCATGCCTGGCAGGACAAAGGAAGCCTGAAAGTGCCCATACATAAATCCCTGAACTGTGATTTAAGATTAGGAAGTTATTTTGAAATAACTGATTTCAGATGTTAGGCTCACAGTAACTGCAATAGTTGCAAGAGAATCAATTTTACTTGGGTTCATGAATTTTTCAGTATTGAGCTCTGTTGAAAACAAAGAGCACCACCTTCATTTATGCAATCTGAGAGCACTGAGTATACACCTAATGTGTGCAACATAGCAATATTAGTAAGCACAAAACTACATGGGAATTTCCAAAATACATCTTCATAAAAGAGGTCAAACTATACAGCAACAGCTGCCTGTCACAGTCACTAATACAAACTTCTTGCCCATAGAGTAGACCGCTTTGCCTGATACTGTTCAAAACCACGGACTGTGCATGCCAGAACAAGCATCAAGACTGACAAAACGGCAGAGTGCAATAAGCAGCACGTGGCAAGGTAGCCAGCCTTGCTAGCAAGTGATGAGCAGCCTCACAGAGCTACAGGAAGGAGCTGAGGTGCTAGCACCATGCCGCACATTGAAGGAAAATGTGTTTAACGGAAACACAATTAATTTACAAATTGCATCAAAGAATAGGCCAAAGAATAAATTTGATGGAAAATGCTATTAATTAAGCTACTCAATAAAAGAAAGATCAAATTACACATCTAATAGCACCATGATCTACCTCATTATTTTTCTTTTGTTAACCAGATTATTAATCAAAGCTTTAAATTAATTATTTTTAAATAAAAGGAGGTATTTTGTTAAAGCGATTAATATATTTTAAAAACTTATTTTAGCTAAGCAAAAACCCTCAGACATTCATAAAGTTTAGTCTTTTAAATAGAAACTACATAATTCAAACAACACTTTCATAAGCATTTAAACATTCAGATAAATAAAGACTTGCATAAACAAGAAACTCTCATAAATTAGCAAACTCTATATATTGAAAGATAGTGTAGACATATGGCTTCTTCCAGAAATTTGCTAAACTTAAGTAAACAAACATAATGCTGCATGTATTGCAAATGCTAACAGAAAATAAAACATTTTCTTCAGAAATGGAAAAATGCTAATCATTTCAACATTTAAGCTGCTACATCCCAAATTAACCATAAGCACTGTAAAATATGCTGTTGATGAGATACTGTAGTAAAAATACAGAGATACCGCCAAACCATGACAACAGTCAGGCAGCAGTTCTTTTTTTTTTTAGCATTTTCTTTTAGTTCATTATTTTCTATTGGCTTAAAAATTAATATTTGCACAGTGCACAGCAGGTAAACAGCATGTATAAGCATTATTGGTTGCCATAATGCCCTTAAATAGCCTATAACAAAAGAATGGACAGTAAGTATATTTGATTTGGAATATATTTTAAATAAATAGAATCTAAACATATTTTACAAGTGGATTGGCAATATAGTTACCAGCAATACAGATGGTGGAAAAATCTAGTAAGCCAGCATATGTAATAATTTTTTTTCATTTGTTTCATCTAATATATATAGAAAGTTTATGCAGTACTATAAAAATAGACTGAACATTCCAAAATGACACCTTTTTGTTCTATTATCCTGGTAAACTATTGCTTAAAAAAAGCCACAGACTTCTGAACATACTTGAATACGACTCGTTATATTCACTTCTATTGTGAAATGCTATGCCAATTTTGTGTAGGCTGTATACTACTGGCAGAAATTAAATTTCTTACTCTGAAACTTCCTTTTCTTATAGGAATCTTGCTTTTAGCCAAACAATTAACATGACTGCAAACACAATGATCATGTTAAAGAAGAAACATCTCTGAGAAATACTCAAAAAGCATTTGTAATTTCTCTCTCCCTCCAGTCACACTTTCTGATTCATGACAACAAACAGTCAATTACCCAAGTGATCGCTGTAAAAGTACATTACACACACTTCTGATTC